GTAATATTTTCTAATGTTTTAAAAGAAGTCTCTTCTGCTCAGCAAGGCTGCTTTTATTTGTACAGTAAAAAAATACATGCCTGTTTCAAGGGGGTCTGATGGCCAAAAAAAATGTTTTAAAAGAAGGCTCTTCTGCTCAGCAAGGCTGCTTTTATTTATTTTTTTATTATCAGTAAAAAAATACATGCCTGTTTCAAGGGGGTCTGATGGCCAAAAAATTTTATTTTACTAACTTTTTTAAATTTCCAGCTTTGTTGGTATAATGTCTGCTAGAATGTAAAAAAATGTTCAGTGTTAAATATTTTAAAATTGTTGTTTTGTAATTGTTTTTTCTTTGAAAAGCAAGACAAAACAGTAAAAAGCACATTTTGGCTATTTAATTTATGCAATAGTGAAAAAAATGGGTCAAAATACATTGGGGAAAAAACAAAAAAAAACGTGCTCGTTTCATTTTGTTCGGTTTCGACTTCGGCCAAGAATTTTCATTTCGGTGCATCCCTATTATTATCCACACCAGAGGACAATATCGTCTTGTTTATTCTAAGCACTATATACAGTATATATATAATTGCAAAATGTTTTTTTTAATTCTTTCTATTATAAATGATATTGTTTGCAGTCTTACATTTGCATGGTTTGGTTTGGCTTTCATGAAATCATTCTTGCAACTAATCTGGCAGCATTTTCATAGTGCGCTTTTATTGAATATTTGAACATTATAGAAAAGGCAAGGGCAGATCATGAAGTGACATTTTGTGAAGTAGTAGGATTGACATTTCAAATGTTAAAAGCTTTATTTCAATGAGAGAAACTCTTCGGTTCATCCTTAATATTCCACCCTTGATAGTGTGTTCCATTTGTTTCCCAGCATGGAGACCATCCTCTGAGAGTGAAAATGTAATGCAATCTGTTTTTTTCTCCACCCCCAACAACAACCTCACCTGGCAGTTTACCACTTTCGTAGACAAACTCTATCTGACTGCTTGTTCTGAAAATCTGGAGTGCCAAACTGCAATAACCTCGGAGCTCTGCACCAGTTCACTGAGCTGTCACCCTCTGATCCAATCAAAACCAGATTAAGAAAGCGCTCTTATCCTGCACTATATCCTTTCTACCGCCTTTTCTTTCATTCTCAGGCTCTTCTTATTCCCAGAACACCTTAGTCTAATTTTTCAAAGGATGTACAGTGGATTTTTTACAGTTTCCTCATCAATTATGACTGAGTTGTATTGCAATAACAAGCTGTTTTGATTTCTTTCATCTTCCCTATCCTATTCAGATTAGATGCTTTTTAGCAACACTTTGTGAGCCCAAATGAATTGGAAAAAATGCATAGTAGTTTACTTATTTTAATGCCCTTGGAGTGTTTGATATCACATAAAATGTTGCACTTGACTAACTGGTGCTGTCAGCATTTGAGTCAGTTTTCAGTGTTTTATTTAATTTAACACAAATGTTATTTTCTAATAAGAGATATTAAAATATATATTATATTTTATACTTTTATTTTAAATAAGTATACATCCAATTATTTTTATATCTTACCTCTACCAGTTCTCCTTCAGTGTACTATTTATTTTATGAAATAATTAATTTCATTTATACCTATTTAAAATTAAATATACAAATATAATTTGAAAAATGTGTATTACAATTAAATATATAAAATATTATTAAATATCTATTTAATATCTATTATATTATTTAATAATAAACATTATATTTGTATAATTATATTTATACATTATATTAAACATTATATTTGTATATTTATATGTAATAAATATACATATATTAAATGTATATGTTTCATCATTCTGATTTTGACATTTAGATTTACACCATACAGGGAAAGTCATTGGGATACAAAACATTGTTTTTAAAATATCTTTTGTTTTTCAAAGAAGAACGATAACAGAATTTTCATTTTTTGGTAAACTGTCCTTTACAATAATACACTAAACGAGGGCTTCTATAGATGAGATTGGATGATACTGAATAATATATATAGAACTTCATTGTTTCTCTGGATAACATTTAGGAACCCAAATAAAGTTCTTCAGACCTTTGTAAGGAAATGGACTCGACTTTCATGCTTCTTTATGCATTACCACAAGATGTCAGCACTAGTCTGAGACACGAGACAGTTGACTTGTAGAGCTGATGCATAATTCTAGTTTCAGTTGAGCAATTTGTGTCTCTTTAGTTAAACTCATGAGGCCTAAGATTTATTCGTTACAGAGAAATGCTCATGCGTCACGCTCTACGTGGATGTGCACATCAATTCTCTCGCTCTCTGTCGGTCTCTGAACCTTGACAGTTCCAGTATTGTCAGTGTGAATTAGACTTGAGATTTATCACTCCTGCCCTGTGTGGCTGTACAGTGCTCCTGAACATTGCTCGCTCGCTCATATTCACTCCCCAGTGTGCAGCCAGCAGTGACTGTTATGTTGTAAAAGCTGTGGGATGTTTGCTCCACCACTGGGGGGCCGAAGCGGCAGGCAGAACAGTGGGAGCGCATGCAGTAGCGAACACATTCAATAAGACCAGCAATCTATAAACACTGAGGTATTCATCTCTAAAGCCATCAGAGGCACACATGTTTGTAAACTTAGCATGGCAGCAGCTGGTATGACCTAGACCAGTGCTGTTAATATCAGTGCTGAGTGGGAAACAAATGCCCTGAGGACTTGTCTTCTTCATGATGTGTGTCATCTTTTTTAGTATTCTTCTTTGTGTTTGTCTTCTTATTTGTCATCTTTTTTGTCAGACTTTCGAACTTTGCTTTGCAGATTCAACTTTAGTTTAGCCTTGCGCTGTTTTTAATTTTGTATATGTAAGATTAAAGTGATGAATTTGAAAATGATGGCATTGTAATATCTAAAAAGATATAAATAATATAATGTATTATATTATATTAAATACTATACTAAAAATACTACTAATACTAGTCTTCTGGTTATTAGTATTTAACTATAACTGGTTAATATAAGATAATTTATAATGATGTTATACATTCAATATTTGATAATAATTAATTAAATATTTAATTTGAAAAATATTTAGCAAGTATTTAATAATAAATATTTTTTAAATTTTGTATTTTATATTTTTATATTAATACATTTTTATTTATTAAATATATATTATGTATATATACTTTAGAGAGTTTGATGATAGATAGATAGATAGGTGTGTTTGTGTGTGTGTGTGTGTGTGTGTGTGTGTGTGTGTACATAATTATGTATTTGCGTGTGTTTCTGTGAGTGCACATAGTTATTTTGCTGTTTTTCAAGCGCTTTTTCCAGGAAATATTAATGATTCATTTTTGTAATTCAGTTTTGGAGTTTGCAGACATAGTTGAATTTATAATATAATGCTTTCTGATTCATACAAGAAGTAGTGGAAGGAGTTTTAATTGTAAATGACTTGGAAAAGTCAACTGGGTAATTCATTACAGATGATGAGGAGGCTGTAATTAGTTTCATCCATTAGCTCAAATTTGCCCTAATTAATTATTATGATGCACAGACATGGTTTAAACCAAGCATCCTTTAGCAGGGCAATGCAATGTATTATGTTTGTCCCAGTCTCTATGGTAATCAGGCCGATGGGCAGAGAACATTAGCTAAGTCAGCCTGACCTCACAACTGAAATGCATCCTTATAATGATTTGTATTTGTTTGACCTGACATGCGGCCTTATAAAATACTGTTTAGATGCTGCCTGCTGGCTTTGTGTATTTTATGACATTATAAAATCATAAAAGATTAGCCTAATGGTTACATTGACCATTCTCTGCTGTAAATGAGTTGTTGCTGGTCCAAAACATGCATCCTATTTAACAAATTAAGTGTTTTTTGAAGCTATCAGTCCAGTTGTTTGGCCAAGCATAGATTACCAATGGTTCATTTATAGTCCGTATCCTCTCATGGCATGACATTTAAAGCACGTTTATATCCATTTTAGATTAAAAGACGTTTTCCACAAAGAAAATGTCCACCTGAGAATAGCACAAAGGTTAATTACTGAACAAGGGAACTTTCTGGATGGTAAAAGCCATTTCTTTACCAACAAAGTTAAACTCTGACAAACTAGGGTCATTGAGCTTTCTATATGCGTGCTTTCGTCTCTTTTTGCACTTTCTCTTCCCATGTCATAGGACGGACAGATCAGACACATCTAAGATTAGAGTGCTAATTTCTCACTGTTCCGGTCTCTGGCCGCCATGTGATTGAACCAAGTCGACCATCTGAGGTAACATAAGGTAGCAAGGTCACACCGACTCCTATCTTCATCGTCACCTTGAGTCACAGTGTAATCACAGTCCCTTTTTGCCGTGTTCACATGCTGATGAGCTGTATGAAGACACACAATGGGTGTCACAAAGTCCTCAGATCTATATTAAAGGGGTCATATGATGCGATTTCAATTTTTTCTTTCTCTTTTTTAGTTAAAAATAACAGTGTTCTGTGAATGTTGATGCTTTAATAACAAATATTTATCGGGATCGTGTATGCTGGGATTTCATAAATTTAATGGAGAAAAAAGTAACATAACTAGTAATGTAACTAATTATTTTTTAAATAAAGTAATCAGAACAGTAACGTGATTACTTTTTTAAAGGAGTAATCAGTAATCAATAATTTGATTACATTTTCAGAGTAACTTGCCCAACACTGCTCTTTGGAGATAAGAATAAAATTTTGGGAGCACATTTGTGAATGTATTAAGGGGGAAGTTCTGAACATGAACACTCTCTCATCTGATTCATTGTCACTCCTATTAAAATCACAAATGTGAATTGCCCTAGGCTGAAAATGTTAGTGCTGAAGGGATTTTGAAATGCAGTTCACTTTTTTTTTTCACATAGAAACACTTTTTAGCTCAAGGTTATGATTGTCTATGATTGTTTGAAGATATAATTGTCCAATTTCAGCATTTGCTGCGATTGATTCCTGTCATTAGGGGGCAGCAAGTTTGCCTGCAAAATGTGTTTTAAAAAGATTTAAGGCTCTTCCTGTGTCCAATAATGTTTTAGTATTTATTTATTTATATATTTTTTGAATAGCTGACATTTGAGGGATGTATGTGTACAGCTGATGTGAGCGAGCAGTTTTAAGTAGTGCATGTCATTATTTATGTATGTATGTATGTATGTATTTATTTAATTATTGGTATATTGACAGTAGAGTAAGAAATGTTGGGTAAGTTTTAAATGGGCAAAAATGTATACCTTTGTTCAGCAAACATGCATTATATAAAAGTAAAGGCGTTTCAAATAAATGCTGTTCTTTTGAATTTTCTCATTCATCAAAGTATTCTGAACTGTTTTCAACATTGACAATAAGAAGAAATGTTTCTTGAGAACCAAATATTATAATTAATAATTGTATTTCATATTGTAAAGGTAGTAGTAATTATTATTATTATTTTTAACAATAACAATAATATTATTTAATAACATTACAAATATTATTATTTCTTGTGGAGTTGCCAATCATTATGTGTATTCTTTTTTTCTCTGCAAACAAAAATAGTTTCAAAAGTCACAGGCCTGAGTGAATCAGTATTTTGAATGATTCAATTGCGTGAATGATTCTGTGACTCACTTACAAGGACAGTCACTTATTTCGTTCTTGAACGAATTGTTTGAGTGAACAATTCAGTGACTTATTCATTAAACAGACAGATGTTTCTGTACTGAATGAATCACTGTTTTTGAACAAATCAGTTGAATGATTCAGTGACTCATATGACTCTTGTTCTCACCTACTGGTGTAACAATGTAACTTGCAGAAAGAATTTATTTTAAGAAAACACCACTAATGCACAGACTAATTATGAATGATTATATTCTGTTGATATGTTTGCATTAACTAGTATGAAATGTCTTTAAAATTGTTAATAATGCAGAATGTTTTTTTCTCCTTTAGCTTGTCATCACAGTTTGGCAAGAACTCATCTTGGATCATGTTTCTAGAAGAAGACACCAGAGTGAAACTCCAAAAACTTCATGAAGTCCTCAAAAAATTTGACCGCAGAAAAGTAAGAACTTTTCATATTGTGCCGAATGTAATCAAAATTCATATTTAGCCTTTAATTGATGTTCCACACTCAGCAAGAGTGGAAATAGTCTGTTATAGTGTTTTCTTATCCATGTTCCATCAAACCTTTCTGTTCACCGTGAATTTGAGCTATAGTGAGCTTATTAAAAAGGGTTCCAGACATTTCCAATCTTTATGCACTAGCAATGCCTTAAATACCAATGGACCAGTCTGCTACCTGTAGAATTACCTGTATAGCCTGTCTTTATTGGATTTTGAATTGTGCTTCACATAGCTCCATTATGAATGAGATCTTAATGCTTTTTAGTCTTTTTCTTAAATGATGTCAACAGGAATTATTTGGAATGTCAGGCCCAAGGGTGAATTTTCTCATTCATCAAAGTATTCTGAACTGTTTTCAACATTGACAATAAGAAGAAATGTTTCTTGAGAACCAAATATTATAATTAATAATTGTATTAATAATTAGCATATAAAAATGATTTCTGAAGGATCATGTGACACTGAGGACAGGAGTAATGGCTGCTGAATATTCAGCTTTGTCATCACAAGAATAAATTACATTTCAAAATGTGACCCTGGACCACAAAACCAGTCATAAGGGTCAATTTTTCGAAATTGAGATTTATACATCATTTATTTTGAATGTCAGACCCAATGGTGTAAGCATTTTATGCTGAAAGCTGTTCTGAGAAACTGATTAGCAGTCTGACATTGATCTTGTCATGGAAAAGTGAAAAAATGTATTGTGTTTGCACTGAATGACTCTCCATAATGCTACTTTATCATTGTTAAAACCCTCTTAACTGCAATTGCAAAATGCGTCAGCCTACAAGTGATATCCAAACAGTTTG